GGCTTTTTTCCTTTTAAAAAATAATTATTTCCTAGTTCTGTCCACCAAAAATACCCAAAAGTAATGGCAACTCAGTAGCCTTAGCAGCTCACCCAGATTGTAGTTTCTATGAATCATTCAAAACAAAAGAAACCCACACCCCCAAAGGAAGGCCTGACCCCAGATCCACAGCAGGAAATATACAACATTACCCTGGGAGTCTTACTGAGCCAGAAAGCAATGAAGCTATCACAAACCAACAAGATTTAAAAGGATTCAGGAGCCAACATCAAAGGGCTCCCTTTGGTCAAAGACAGGGCAACTTATGCTTTAAAAAAATGGGGGTAACTAAAAAGATTTAAATATACAAGTCGGGTAAGAATCCACAAGTTCATGATGATCGAGAGACCGCTTACCCCAAACAGACACCACCACCACCACTGAAGAGGCAAAAAGACGGAACAGCTGCAGGGTCGGGGCTGAAGCAAGGAGGCATTTGTCCTAGAGAAAGCCAGAGACTGACACAAAGGTGTTCTGGTGGGTGACAATAGTAGTCACAGCAGCAACAACAGAAATAGCAATAAGCAATAACAATAGCTATAAGCGCTGTGTCCTGCTGCCAGGGTTCAAGCCTCGCTGCACTCACTTCCTCACGGGATAAGCCTCTCAACACTTACATCCTCTCCCTGTGCCTAACCTGCTCCATCTGTAAATGAACTTACCATGCAAATTCTAGGGTAAGTTCAGGAGTGGATAAGGCGACACTGGTGAAGTCTGCAGTTAGCATACCTGGCACACACCACACATCCAGAAGTGGCTATGGTTAAAGTTTACTGGGCCCTGGACTCTGGGCTATGTGCTTTACATGCATTTCTCATTTAATTCTCCAAATAACTATACAAGGGAGACATTTGCCATCTCCATTCTATGGGTGAGGACTGAAACTCAGAAAGGTGATTTATTTACCAGTGGTCCCATAGCTCATTACTGAAGTTCTAGAATAAGACTGACCACCTGAATTTGACCCTTTGACCTGGGTGCCTGTGTTGGGCATCTCCATGATGCCCCCTCCACACACGGTGATTCCCCTTCCCAGTGTTCTGCCCTTGGGTATCCCTTCCCTCACTGGATAGGGCTGCTCTGTGAAACCAACAGGGTGCTATGGGAATGACAGGGTGGCTTCTACCTTGCTGTCTTGGATCTCATACTCTAGGGAAATTCAGTTGGTATGCCAGGAGGACACTCAAGAGGCTCTATGGAAGACCTACATGGCAAAGAACTGAGGCCTCCTTCCAACAGCCAGGACTAGATTGCCAGGCATTGTGTGGTCACCACCACAGAAGCAGATCACCAGCCCCAGCTGAGCCCTTGACTGACTACAGTCCCAGTAGACATCTTGACTACAACTCCTGGGGGCCCTGAGCCAGGACTACCCAGCCAGGCCACTCCTGGGTTCTTCACACACAGATCTGAGACATGATAAATACGTATTGTTTTAAGGTGCTCAGCTTGGGGGTGACTTGTTACACAGCGATGGGGGGTTCATATGATAAGCACGAAGCAGGTTCTAGTACATCCTTCCATTCTCTCATGTAAAAGATGAAGACTGCAATAGCAAGGGCATCATAAAGTGGTTGTGAGGATCAAATGCAATCCTGCATCCAAGGTGCCTGGTCTAGAGCCTGCACACAGCCCAGGCCTCCCAAGAACAGACTCCACAGCAGCACCCACCCATTTCTAAACCTGTGCTCAGGCAATGAGCCATGGGGTATTCAGATACGGAGGACTGGCCGATCAACCTGAGACAGAAAGGGATGGTGAGTGGGCAAGGACTCTGCCCAGCACTCCACCACAGGGAGACACTTTCCTGGAAGCACCAAGATTCAAGGCCTCCCAGGGCTGGGGGATTTCTTGTCACACTCAAGGTTCTCCCACCTCCCCATTCACTGCAGGTCTCCTAGACACAGCTCTGTGCATGCTAACCCACAACACAAACCACCTTTGCTCCAGGTCCATCACCAGTGCCTTCCCAAAACATCCAGGTGTCACTGTAGCTCTGCACAGCCTGCTCAAAGCCTCTCACATCTCCAGAAGAAGTAATCATATCCCTTCTTTTTTCAAGCTAAGCACCCCCAGCTCCTCATGACAACAACTCCCCAAGGGGGAGGATGGAGGAAGCAGAGGCCTGAAGTTGGCCAGCAAAATGACCCACTAGGAGGAGGGGCTGAAGCCTTCCAGGGAACCCCAAACATCCACATCACCACCTCTAAACACAGCCAGCATTAATACCCCCATTTAGGAAGGATCTTGTAGACCTAGGAAGGGCTCATAAACTATATTTCCTGGACAAAGGAGTCCTGGTATGATGGCTGAATTCAAACCAAGAGGTGGGAGTCACAGCCCTGTACTAGTAGGTTCTGGACTCAGACAAGATTAGGTCAAGTCCTGGCAATACAGTCCATGGCCCATATTACTCTTATAATCTATGTGGGGCTGATCTGAGAGAAGTCTTAGCCAACAAATAGGCAGGATAAATCTTTAAGAAGTCAGGATTTCACAAAGCAAATAGCTATCAATCTTAAAATCACCTACATGCCTGATTCTCATTTGTGTGCATCACTGGTGAGTTGTTCAAAAACAGATACCCAGCCCCAAATCTAAATCTATGAAGTCAGATTTATTTATTTATTTATTTATTTATTTATTTATGGTGAAGGCATCTGAGAGGGGTGTGTGTGTGTGTGCGCGCGCACGCGCGCAGGGACGCGCGCTTTTACAGATATACCCTGATTCTGAGGCATAACCGGGGTTAAAAGGCCCCTGTCTACAGGTCTCTTGATCTCTTGAGAGCTCAGGTCACTCCAAATGTACACCCTCAGATGCTGGCCTCTACCTCCTGGGAAGTCTTGCCTACATCAAACTTACAGCGGCCCCTTATTCGTGTCCTTCCCACTCTGGGTGGTCCAGCCACAATATGGCAACATCCCCAAAAGGAAAAATTCTAGTTTTCAGTCTGCTAATAATAATAACAGCAGCAAAAAAAAAAAAAAAAAAAAAAAAAAGAACAGCTGGGGAAGCTCCAAGGGTCTTTCTTTTAACAATGGTTTGACAATGAGGAACAAATTCTTTCATTTTAGCTAACCTGTTTTAAGATATTCAAATCTGGAGTTTCTCCAGATACCTCAAAGTAATTAGTTCTGAATCCTTACTCTGCATCAGAATCACCTGGAAAATCTTTATAAAGTAGGGCTGACTGGGTTCCAGACCCCAATTCATAGATCCAGATTCCATGTCTAGGATGAGATCTGGGTACCTTACATTTCAAATGCCGCCCAGTTGATTCAGAGGAGCAGTCCTGACTGAGAACCCCTTCCAAACTAAACTCTTGAAGGCAAAACAACTCCAGTTTAATGTCTTTTCATAACTTTAAACAAGATGTGCCACACTGGGGAAGAGCTATGGTCTGTCCCTGGCTGTGCCTCTGAAGAGGAAGAATCCCCTATCCCAGCCACCTGCTTCCCCCTTTCAGTCAGTCTGGACAGTGGAGTCAGTCTCCCAGGAGGCTGGATGCTGCCCTTGACATTCAGAACAAAGAACAAAGCCCCAAATGCCTAAACTGTTACAGACTGAAGCTCAGTAGAGAATGTGATCAGAAATAACTTCCACTAAGAGTAAGGCAACTACCACACAACTACTTCACCCAAAGGCTCCAAGAGGTAGTGAGCTGCTGTAGAAAGAATGAATCACTCCATGTTGCAAAAGCAGGAAACAACCAAGGCAGCCAGTTCAGCACACATAGCTCTGCTCCCCAAACCCCAAGAACATGGCACACAAGGCCAGTGCCACATCTTCATGTCCAAGACAAGTGCAGCCAGCAGGGCTGGTGCTTCCTGATTTGCAGTGAGTGGTGCCAGCTCTTGGAGGGCCTGGGTGCTCTGGCTTGGTATTGGAGTATAGAGTCCTTCTAGAAGTCTTGGCAGTCACTGGACTGCAGTGGTAAGAGTGCTCTGGGATGCACACCATAGCCACAGCAACTATTGACCTATCTCCCCACCACACCCCCTTCTCTGAATCTGCACCTCACTCCTGGACCTGGGTTCATCAGCATGTTTGCTAGTCTTGATCATGTCCTGCTGTCATCAGGTGACTGTACCAGCACTAGACACATGATGAAACAGGGCTGAATAGAGTTGCTGGCCTCAGTCTCAGACATCAGCTTAAATAGGGATTGTGTAAACATGGGCACTTTGGAGAGGTCAAGTTGGGCCTTGTGTACATAGAGGAGAGGGCAAGAGAGAAGACAAGGGAAGCAGGGACTGTCCATGTCGTGGGGACTCGCCAGGCTGCCTGAACTGGGGAAGAGCTGTGGTCTGCTGCCTGAACTCTATGGCCACAGATGATTCTGTGAAGTGCCATGGTATTGTTGGAATAAATTTCTCTTTTGTCTACGTAACTACTTGGAAATGGATACCTATTACTTGCCCCCCCCCCCCCCACACACACACACACAAAAAAAACCCTAAATGAAATAACTAGAGCCTCATTACCAATAGCCAGACATTTCCAAGTATGTTTGTTCTTAAAGATCAAAATCAACTCTTTTCCTTTTATTGTTTCTAAAACTAGACATTTGCTTTTAATGTAAATTGTATTTGCTCTGCTGTGGCAACTGGTTTTAGAAACAAGGCAATCACTAGCATCTAGGATCAGTAAATGAAAGTTTTCTAGAAAACATTCTGTTCCAGGACCTTATTGACAGTGGACATCTTTGGCAGGGGCAGCCTGGGAAAGAAGGGGTGTACCCATGCAGGCCCAGAACAGGCCAGACAGGTGGCATTCTCTGTAGAACCCAAACACCTGGCTCAGAGAACAGTACCAGCAAGAACAGGAAGCAGTTTAAATAGATAACATGTATCCAGAGACTTCAAGAGTGAAGCCGGGGACTGAATATCCTAAGAGGCTAAGCAGACCCTCCCTTCCCAGCCACAGCACTGGGAGAGAACATAGGATGCAGTACAGACCTCCGGCTGGATGGCTTTAAACACAGGGATGTCCATTAGTGTGATCTGGCTCTGCAAGAAAAGAGAATCCATATTAGAAAATACTGGATGTCAAAGACAGCTGTCATGTTGCTTTAGATCTACAGAGACACACACATTCATTAAAGTTGTACTTTCCCTGTGAAAGAAAGAAAGTAAAAAAAAAAAAGGGATAATTTTCTTTTTTAAATTAATTTTAACTAACACATAAAACATTAAAATTTTACATATTGATGGGGCACCATACAAAAATTCAATACATCTATACATTGTGTAATGTTTAATCCAGGTTAAACACACTTATCTTCTCATTTGTCATTACTTTATGGTGGAAAAAAAAATGAAACCCTTTTTTTTAGCTGATATATACAGTACACAGTTATTACATATAATGTCACCCCACTGTGCAATAGCAGGCCAGAACATCTTCATTCTAACAGTGACTTAGTAGCCCCTGATCAGCTTTTCCCCATCCCTTTGCCCACTCACAGAGCCTCGGTGGTATTTGTGTTTCTGGGTTTTTTTGTTTGTTTGTTTGTTTTTTTGCCCAGTCTGGCGATTGAACCTAGGGGTACTCTACTACTGAGCTACATCCCCTGCCCACTTTTTAACTTTTTATTTTGAGACAGGGTCTCACTAAGTTGCTGAAGCTGTTCTTGAACTTGCGATCCTCCTGACTCAGCCTTCTGAGTCACTGGGATTCCAGACATGCATCCACACCTGGCTCTGGCTTATTTCTCCTAACATAGTGATCTCCAGTTCCATCTGTGTTGTGGCAAATGACAGGAGTTCCTTCTTTTTTACGGTTGTGTAGTAATTGTGTGTAGGTACCACATTTTCCTCATCTGTTCATCAGTTGATGGGTACCTAGGTATTTCCCCTTCCTGGCTGTTGTGACCAGAGCTGTAGTGAACGTGGGCATGTGGACGTCTCTTCCACAGGCTGACTTTATGTCCTCCAGATCTATACCCAGTAGTGGGGACTGCCGGATCCTAGGGCAGTTCTGTATCTCATTTTTGAGGACTCTCCATGCTGTTTTCCATGATAGCTGTACTAACTAATAAGTGCATTATATATTCTGGATATTAGCCCATTGTCAGATGTAGTTTACAAATATTTTCTCTCATTCTATGGTTGTCTCTTCATTCTTATGATCATTCTTGCTGTGTAGAAACTTTTAGTTTGATATAGTCCCATTTGTCTATTTTTGCTTTCATTTCTGTGCTTTTGGGGTCTTGTCCAAAAAAAATCCTTGCCCATTCCAATGTCCTGAAACATTTCCCCTGAGTTTTCTTCTCATGGTTTCAGTTTCAGGTCTTACACTTAAGTCTTTAATCCATTTTGAGTTTGATTTTTATAACTGGTGAAAGATAGGGGTGAATTTCTGAAATGCCTCTCCCACCCCTTTCCCTCTTCATAAATCTTGATCCACACCCTTCTTCCTTGAATATGAGATGAGCATTCAAACTTAAGAATTGATAATAGTTATTTGGAGGGTGGAGCTGAGAGTAAGGAGAATATTTTTAGTTTGAAAATTTTTGTACCATGTAGATTTTTGCTCTCAGCATGAGTTGCTTTTGTAATTTTAAAAAGTAGATATAATATTAAAAATTATAATGTTGAACAGAGACACTATCTATTACTCTAAATTTAAGTTTACTTTAAAATTGTGGCTTATAGAAATGACATTTCTCTTCTGAAGTCTATGCCTCCCCTAAATTACACGGTAGAGTACTATTCAAGATGCATCCAGAGGCCAGTCTGGGGCCACAACCATTTATTGCACCAACCCACAGTGAGATCAGTACAGAAGCTGAGAGCAAGCAGGGAAACTTTTACAGCAATTTGGCATGGTGGCGACATTTCTATTTTTTTGTTGTTGTTGTTTTGTTTTATTTTGTTTTTTTAAGTAACAGTCCTCAACAGATTGGAAAAGAAAGAGCTGGTGCTTCACCACAGCCACCTCAAGGGCACTGAGGCCATCAATACAGAAACACACACTCCTGAGGTTGAAAGGCTAGGCCCAAAACTAGATGTTCTTCTGGGGTCAGAGGGGGAAGGCACCTCTGCTGACGATTCTTCAGGCTGAGACATGGACTGAGTCTTCATCACATAACCTACCTCCACACGTCACATGGGATGGCAGGTGTCATTTGGCAGATGCCTCTGTGAAAGGCCAGAAAAATGAGAGCCAAGGGCTTTTGGATGCCTATGAATGCAAGACAATGCCCTGTCCACTGGATACAAGGCCCTCTGGGATGATGGTGCTGTGGAACATACTCAGGATCTGGAACCTATAGGGCTCCGTATGCGTTGTTTAACAGCAATATTCTGACATGTCTTAACTTCTCCCAGTCTCAAGTGCCACATCTAGAAAATGGTAACAATAGTCTCTATCTTTGAGATCTTGGTAAAAATTCAAGATAAGAGGTGTAGAGAGCCTGGCCCCTGGCAGATGGTCAATAAAAATATGTGTGTGAGAGAGAGATTAGCAAAAGGGTAGTCACACAGATGGGCCTGTGTATTGACCATGGATTTATGGTTCCTGACCAGTGCAGGATCTAGGAAACAAGGGACCATTGAATGGGCTGAATATCCGGGCACTGAGGTTGCTTTAGAGAAAATTAAAAGAGGCTGTTACGATGAGCCAGCAAAAAGCCTCATGTCAAGAATACATTGGAGAAAAATGGCAATATATACAGTGTGTCACCTGTGACCATAATCCAGGGCTTAGTGCAGAACTGTAGCCAGCTCTTGGCACAACTCAAAGGTGGGCCAAGGTGACTGGGTTCCTGTGAATCCCAAGATACAGGCCAAAGCATACCATTCTCAGAGCTGAGAGGGAGAGGAAAGGAGCAGGTGGCATCAGTGAAGAGCCTCTTTGCCCCCTCCCAGGGGACAGTGCTCCTCAAGGGCACAGGGGTGAAATGCTGCCACCAAGGGAAGCTTGGCAGACAGACAGTAGGTGGCACCAGGGATAAGGAAGTACTTGGAGGATCCCAGCTCTTCCACCTCTGGGTCCCCTCCATGGCAAGGGGGCATCTGACACCACACAACAGGGCTCCAGGCCTCATGATCTGGTGTTGAGTGGCAAGTGCACTCTGAAGGCCCATAAGCCCATGCCTGGCCCAGAGCTCTGGGGCCCAAAGCTATGTCCTGGGCAGCATAAACAGACTAGCATTTCTTCTGCCAGACCCATCGGGATTGTTAGCCAAGTGCTCCTCATATTTGGATTAATTCTGCCACACTGGGGAACAGAAAGGCCTTGTGAAAACAGGAGATTTGAGCTGAAAGCTCGGAGGGCCTTGGAACTCTCTCCTGCAGTTCAAGTTAACTCCCTCTCCAGGAGAGCCAGCAGGATGTTTGCAATGTTATTTAGGAAAAGAACCAAAAGTCTGCTAATGTGAAAATGAGAAAACTTCCTTTCCATCCTTCCATCAGTTCTAGAATTTGCTACTCAATTTCTAAATGATTTATTAAAATAGTGACCTGATGTTTCATATTTTTTGGATGGTTTCAAATATTATGATCTCTACTCAGACCGTAAGTCAGAAAATGTGTTCAGGTGTTCTATTAAAAACTCACAATGACAGAGGTCAGCAGACTAAAAATAGACTGGCTGATCCCAGCCACACAGTGAGGATTTGGGGGAGAGTCTCTCCCATTTCTATCCTCTCAACCCTGACCAAAGCTGATATAGTACCAGGGTGAGAGTGTATCAACACAAAGGATTCAGGTAAGTCACCAGATCACAAGCTTCATACCACCCTCCTACCAGGCCAAGGTCATGTGGGAAAGGCTCCTGAGGAGCATCTTCCCCAGAGGCCTGGGTGGGCCAAGAAAGCCAGCTGCCAAAAGAAAGGGTGAGCATGGAGGGCCTGAGCACTGAAGCAGGGCCTGTCATACTCCATGGCCACTCTTGGGGCCACTGGGACCCTCTCCCCAGCCCTGGTGCCCAGGAGAGATGCCCTGGATTCCGGGAAACAAAAGGCATCCTCAGAGGGTGTCCCAGCGTTAGCAGAACCTCAGACAAGGAGGCTCCTGAGTGCATTTCCACACAGCAAGTATCCCACAGGGGGAGACTCATCAACAGGGCTCTTCGTGGCTGCTCCTTATTTGAGGAACAAAAAGCCTTAATACAGGTGTCCAGGCCAATGGGTCACATGGCACTGCCTTCTCCATCCTAGTCCCTTCTCCTGGGCCACCACCCTAAGAACTCAGGCTTTCAAGAGACATGGCCCATCTCCACACATTACAAAACTTTTCGGTATAGATGAATCCTACGGTCTGGAGAGATTACTGGAGCACTGGCAATGTGGCCTCCTAATGAAAACTGGGATCTTTTTGAGCAGTCAAAAAGAAAAGCCCTTCTTGCCTAAGTTAAATGCAATGTTTCTTCTGACAGGATGACTACATCCTCTCCCTACCACAGCCTTAGTATAAGGGTCTCCCAAGACCCCAAATCAACAGAGACAGCTGCTGACAAATCAGTGGTGTATCTCATAGTGGAAGATGCCCTAACATTTGCCTTTAGTTCACTCCACCAAAACATGACCAAGACAGTTCAGAGCAAACCGGGATCAGCCCAGAAGAAGTATTCTAGATACACACACTCCCAGAGCCTTGGGAAGCACATGTCTAATGAGCCTAGAATGGTAGTCAGAATTTTAGAATTGAAATGCAGATTACACAGGAAGACACCATGGGTGTCTCTGAACTATTTTATTTCTTTTTGAAAAATAATCCAGCAGTAACTCACTAAAATGTTTTTTTAACTTATTTTTTTCAATGAATCTTTATTTATTTATATGTGGTACTAAGAATCGAACCCAGTGCCTTACACATGCTAGGCAAGTGCTCTATGACTCCAGCACCATAACATCTTATTTTTTTTAAATGTCAAACCTGCAAATAAGTAGGATGAATTCTCAAAATACTTCACCTAGCTTTACTAATCATTAAGTCACCAGATCATTAACATTGCACCCCATTTGCTTTATCATTCTATTCATAATCAGATAAATGCATTTTTA